AAGGCAGCATTTAGTTATGGCCAAGGTCTCTGGCAATACCAAGTGATGCCATTCAGGTTCAGTAATGCTCCAGCAACAATTGAAAGGCTGATGGAATGAGTATTTTTACCATAACTGTTGCCATATCAAAACTTGTCCAGACCATGTAAAAAATGGTGATAATATGTTGTTAACCATGTGATGTGTCAGACTTACATTAATTTGACTTCTGTATTGCACTTCTAAACTATCACACCATATGTACTGTTTTATCAACTTAGTAACACTCCTTGTATTCTATGACATTTTTGTTTAATGCATCAAATTGTTCAAACAATGTAAGAACTGTGTCAATAATTTTACTCTCCTAACATGTTTTAACTGTCTAAGTCACGTGTAGACTGAGTTGGTAGCATATGGTTCTTTTTACACTGTTAACATATAAACCTGTCTGAAAAGATATATATTAATGTCTAACCTCATATTATGTCTCTGAAGAACATATTTAACCTGTTAATGTACTCATTATCAGGTGTGAAGAGATCAAACCTAAGATCCTTTAATAGTGTCATACGAGCTTATTCATGGAGATTACATTTTTGTTTTTCCATTTTCACGTGTTTTCTACTTTGCTGATCTCACTGACAATTTGAGCATACTCTTCAAGGAGATGAACAAATTCTTCTCGCCTGATCTGTGAATCATGCTGAAATTAAGACAAATATACTATTTTAGTGAAGGCCTTTATAAACTGTACATAAGTAGCAATGAATGTAGTTAACAATCAATTACAAACTCAAACTGATAGTAACCAAACAACATCATTCACATTTGACAAAACAAAAGCTAGTATACTGAAAAAGCGTGAAAATGCCAGTTGAGCATTTGCAAGAATAATAAGCAGAATTTATTATAATTAGTGTGGGAACATGTTATAATATTAGTGTCTTTCAGGTGTCAGCACAAGCATATGAGTGGAAGGTGTGAAATATAATGTACATTGAGAATATTTTTTTCTATTAAAAATTTTAATATATGTAACTTTGTCATATATACTTTAAAAAAATGAAACCAGAAAATTACCACTATACTACTCAATCCATTTTCTTTCTTTGGCACTTGATCAACTAAAAAAAGAAAAGAACAACATTCCTTTAAATATGCTACCACAACCAACTTTTAAAAAACATTCCTTTAAATATGCTACCACAACCAACTTTTAAAAAACATTCCTTTAAATATGCTACCACAACCAACTTTTAAAAAACATTCCTTTAAATATGCTACCACAACCAACTTTTAAAAATCAGTACTTTAAACATGCTACCACAAACAATTTTTAAAAATTGGTACTTTAAATATGCTACCACAATTAACTTTTAAAAATCAGTACTTTAAATATGTTACCATAACCAACTTTTTAACAGTACTTTAAATATGCTATCATAACCAACTTTAAAAATCAGTACTTTAAATATGCTACCATAACCAACTTTAAAATCAGTACTTTAAATATGTTATCACAACCAATTTTAAAAAATCAGTACTTTAAATATGCTACCATAACCTACTTTAAAAAATCAGTACTTTAAATATGTTATCACAACCAAGTTTTAAAATCAGTACTTTAAGCATGGTACCACAAATAATTTTTAAAAGTGGTATTTTAAATATGGTACCACAACCAACTTTTAAAAATCAGTACTTTAAATATACTACCACAACCAACTTTTAAACAGTACTTTAAGTATGCTACCATAAACAACTTTAAAAAATCAGTACTTTAAACATGTTACCACAAACAATTTTTAAAAGCGGTACTTTAAATATGCTACCACAACCAACTTTTAAAAATCGGTACTTGTTTTGTTACTTTAATGACATCCCACCATCACAACTGAGGTTAAGAAACAGTGATTGTCAAAAAATGGATAAAACTACACATGTATTAAAGTTTGAAGGACAAATCAGTGCTATTTTATTCAAAAAAGTCACAAACACTAATAATTTTATTAGAAGTGCACTGAAATCAACCCAAAATCAAAATTTATGATTTATTTTAGATTTTTATGTATGAAATCCAATAAATAAAACTTTCTATTAAATAGATTTGAACTCTTTAAGTATTTTGTTTAATGTGTGTAAAATATTTTAACTGAATGGTGCACTTTTGCACTTGAAACAGACTTCCTCCATTTGGGCATGAAAGAGTTAACTAATTTTTAGCCTATAATTTTTAGCACTGTCTTTATTATGATTTCTATTTTTCTGTTACCAAAATATGAAGTAGAAAAGATTGGTCAAAATGGCACCAAAATCCCCACAACCGATGAAACTGTGAATTTGCTTACCATACACAGGCACATCTATATATTTTTCTTCTTTGCCATCATCATGCTCTTTGTCCTCTCCATCTACAACATCTACTACAATATTAACTAACTGAGCTAGACATGGAAATCTGTTTTTCTTGATTTCTGTATCAGATGAATTCTGTAAAGCCTCTAGATTTGGATACCTGCTTTCAGTGTTACCGTCTAGTAGAACTGTAGGCTCAGCTATGATGGAGTTCTGCTGAATCTGTTTTAAAATTTTACATGAAAATGAACAGAAACAGAATAAAACAGTATGCACATATGAATCAAAGTTCCTTTTAGATAACATAAAATTCAAAATGCATAGTTCCTGTCAACAAAATTGGATATTCTGAGGATGCTTCAAAACACCTACTTGTTCATGAACAGTTTCTTCAACTAACTAACAGAACATGCATAGCAGATTTAATCTCATTAGAATGTAATTATTTAACTACTTGCATACTAGCTCAAGATATACATGATGACGATAATAAAGAATGTTAAAAAGCATTAAATGTGTGATGCATAGTAATTAGGCAAACCAAATCAAATAAAAAACATACTGCAAATGTGTTTTGGACGTGGGGAGGAGGATGGTATGTAAAAGGATTTGGATCATGTGGTGAATTTGGCAAATAAATGCCAGATGTCATTTACTAATAATAAATGCAAGGTAGTGCATATAGATATCATAATTTAAATAATTTTCATGGAAATAACCTTAACAGTGTAACGGATGCAATTGATCTTAGTGTTATAGTTCATTAATCTCTTAAGCCACACAAACAATGTGCCATGGATTTTGGCAGATCAAGTAGGATTTTACGCTGTATCTACAGATATATTGAATACAAGTCTAAAGAGATTATAATTTCATTTTATAGGTCACTGTTTATGCCACATTTATAGTATTGTGGCTCCTTACTTTTAAGGCATTGAATTGTTGGAAATGGGTCAAAGGTGGGAAAAGGTTGTCATAGGAGGACATGTTAAGATCTCTGAAATTGTTTTCTTTTAAGAAAAAGAAGAGTTGGCGGGGTCTAATTTGAGGTGTTTTAAACTATTAAGGGAATATGTTGATGCTTTGTTTTGTACTTAATGACGGTATTAAGAAATATGAATATAAATTTGGGCAAGGAAGAGAGCTTTTGTTTTTTAACAGGGTGGTTAGCCTTTGGAATGGATTGCCTTCAGAAGTGATGGATGCAGTTAATTTAAGGATGTTTAATAGAAAACTTGATAAATAATTGAATAATAAGGGCTGGCTTTGAGTGTTTTATTTTCATTTTAAAGTTTGGTTTAATGGATGAGATGGCCTAGACAGATCAAGATACGCTTTTCAACTTAGTGCTTTTAAGGTAATTATTGGACCTGTTTAGAAGGAAACATAATTGAAAAAAAGAGCTAACCTTTGACGAACCTCGAACAAAACATGAAGACAAATTAATGGTCTTCGGTGCTGCATTCTTACGTGTCACTTGAGAAGGGAAGACACCACAAACTGATGGGATGTGGGTAAACTCACCTAACAGACCTGATATGTAAAAAAAACTATCAAAAAAATTATTCGCAAAAAGTAATACAAATCTGTGCAAAAAATGATGGATAATGTTCGGTTAAGTACACATAAAGCTCCTAGGAATATTGCTATAATGCCTTCCTAATTTTAAACAAGATGAAGTTTAATTATTTTTTCTTGCTTATAAGAATTTCTGTTCACATCTGTGCCCCTTACTATTTCTCTTGCATTAAAGCTCACCTTGGGAGAGTGATTATCTTATTAATAGAAATAATAAACATTTGCTAGTATCCAAAAGTTTGATAATTTTATAACAGAGTATTTCAAGTGTTTCATTAAACAAGTATTTCCTAAAGTCTTTCTTTTCATTTTCTAATTTTCTTAAGAGAAAGCTGAAACAATCAATACGTCAATAATCTCAAAGTATTTTGCTTTTCATTAACTGCCTTCAAAGCCTGTATAATTTAGGTTAAACAAAAATTTTAAAATGACAAATACGCAATACTATTAAAACTATCTTCAAAAAATGTAAAAGATTATAGATTTGTCTATAGGAAAAAAATAAGAAAACTGAAGTTACTAAATAAAGTTTAGAAACGTCAAACAGCTCAAAAGTCAGGTTTTATCTAAAGGACTATGTGTACAAACATGATACACTTATTAATGACTGGGAATACCACAGCATGCAGCTAAAGAGGACCAGAATATGGCTAGAATACTCTGAAGATTCGTTATTTTATTGGAAAGCAGGTCTCTTTAATATAACACAATGTGTTACTTAGCATAACTTTTGAAAAATGTACGCTTTCTATCTCAAGTGCTTCTATTATCAACAGTATCTCTTCAGAGTTTCCCTTCAGCTCCCAAAAATTTCATACGAAGTAGCCTACAACAGCCAAAACTTTGCTTTCTACTCATTAGTGATGTGGCATTTATGTCCTCGGAGCCATGAATTTATTCACCACACTCTTGTTGGGAATTGTATGACTGCCTGTAATTTCATACGAATTATGTTGGTGTGGCACAGTCTAATTGGTTGGATGAAAGTCAATCAGAGTATAAACTATTACCATATGATTATACTCTGGTGCAGTTCATTCTCATACATCTAGAGAGAGGGAGCATTCACATAATATTCATATTGTTATTTCATTCACTCCTTCCATAATTATTTCCAATAATGTACATCATTCAATTTTCTCCAGTTTTACTTTACTATGATTTCAGAATTGTTACTCAAGTGTTAACAGTGCCCTTTTCTAGTACTAAGTTCTTCCTTAATAATACAAAATCTGTAAAACATAGCAAAAATATTCATTTAAAAGATTAGAACATACATGTTTCCCATTTTAGAAATTTTCACATTATAATGGTACTATTGAAACTGACAGAAATATTCAATCTTAATGAGTATCCAACAGCATCAGAATAGATACAGAAATACAACAGAGGATATAACAGTGACTCTTGAAAACATTAAACAGTTGTCAGTTGTTTTAAACTAACCTCCTGTTAGTGCGAGTTTCAATAACAAATATTACCTTTCTTTTTCCTCTGTGGAGGGAATGTGGGACTATCACCTGGCTCTGCTGTGATAGCTATTGGGATGGGATGTGAAACTGACAGTGTGTTTGATCTGGAACTGAAGACTTTGGTATGGCGCCAGTTGCGGCTTCTAATTTAGCAATATTTTCTAAAAAATGCTCCCTGTCTCTCACAGCAGGATGCCTGGCATTAACTGGTGTATTGTTTATACGAGATTCAACAAGAAAGGCAGAATTTTCCTGAGGTGGTCTGTTGAAGGAAGTGGTTTGAGGTTTTGAAGACCTACAATAGGAGATTATTATATTTAGAACTTCTAAAAGTAAATATGATTCTAAAAGTTATATGTGTGAAGAACTTCAATGATAATTAAGTTTCTAGTGTAAATACCTGAAGCAAATATTTTATAAGATAAATATATATATATCAAGTATCCAGTTTTTATAATACTTCCTATTCAAAAACGCATCACAGATCATCTGTGTGATAGATATTTTTCCATGTATTCTCCATTTAGTTGTGATGGTTTGCAATTCTGCATGAATTGCAAATCATTCTGTATACATCAACAGGTAAGGGAAATAAGTACAAAAGCTGCCCAAGATGTTTCATACATTTTATTTTTTAATATCAAGAATGTTAGTAACACTTGATTATATGAGAAAACTTCTCAGAATTCTTACTTTATTTTTCATTTTACAGAGTTTTGAACAATTTAAACGTTTACTTGATGTCATTAAATATACACACATACATTAATTTGTTAGCATTTGTACACCCACCCACTCCCACCAAGGCACAAATAGTGTTCAGGTTTACAGTCATTGTTATAAATATACTCTCTTTTAAAATTAATAAAAACAATAAAAAGTTGATTCAGTTTGATGTGCATAAGCAAAGACTACACTATGACCCATAGAAAATGTTAAACAAACATCCTAGTCAGATTTACTTACAAAGGAAGGACGGATAAAGAAGTTTCCTTCTGACACTTTAGTTGACCTATAGATGGTGGACATGGAATTGGTTCTAGCTTTCTGGGTTTTATAGAGGACTGAAACACAAAAAAAAATTATAAAAACCTACTATAATAAGGAATGAGGCTGTAGCTAAAAGGATTTATAAAACTAAATATTGTCTATTTACAGTGTAAAATTGTATAGACAATAAAAATTCAAACAAACTAATATATATATATACACACACCCAAGTATTAAATAAAATCCTCAGTAATTATATGTACTTGGTAGTATTTAGTTTTACAAATGCAATAGTAATTATCATTACTTTCAAGTTTGACAGATGGCTATCGAGTCAATTCAACCTTAGACAAGAAAACCAGAAATTAAAATCTTAAGTAAGAATTTCATACACATAAAGATGAGTTTCTCTGCTGGAAATTTAATTTTTACTCTCTGCAGAAACTACACACATATTACACCTCCACACATGTTAATGTTTTTAAAAGCAAGCATAAGTGGACTAATTTATCAGGGTTCACTGTGCAAAGATACTCAAAATGACTTTTTTTGCAATATATTTCACATTTTACATCACAGAATAGCATAAGTCAAATATTCATTGTATCCAAAACCAACATAATTCAAACAATGAACACAGTATAATTTATTTTAACAATGGCTGTCACATAATGTATACCTGTGAGCAGCATATATATGAAACAAAGTTACAGATAAAGTACAATCCACTTTACTTACAAACAGTTTGAGGACAATTTGTACTTGTTCTATCTTGTCAGTTTCAATACATGTATTGTATAGTCAAGTATACAAATAAAAGTCTTAATAAATGTTTCAAAAACATTTTTCTGAGAGGGTGATGGTGATTTTACAACTAGAGAGTGCATTTTATATTTCTAGAAGTACAAAGTCAAACATTACATATGTTGTGTGAACCTCGTTCCATTAACTAACAGACAAAGTAAAAACAAAGTGTGTAAAAGAAAATAAAACCATTATTGATCAATCTTTATATTAACTCCGCATTCAGTAAGTTTTTAACTTTTAACACTCTTGCATGCATATTTTTAGTTAAACATTAAATTGCATTCAATTTTTAACTGAAATATGTTTTAAGAATGTACTAAATGCATAGTTTTTTTTATTTCAAATGAACTTATTTATCCCAAAATAAAAATATTTAATCTAGTTACAGCAGTTCATATTTACAGTTTTCTGTTCAGAGCAAAGCTAACTGTACAAAGAAATCAGTTACAAAGAAAAAAATAAAGAAATGAGCTTAAACATAGCAAAAACTTGAATAACCATAAATATACTGTTGTAAGTTTTAAAATTTCAATTTTAGAAGTTTGCTAGGCAAAATTTTAACATCATATGTTGAGAACTTAGCTCAGTGACTGTAATGTTCTTGAGAATATAAGAAATTATTTGAACAACTGAAAAAATGACAGATATATTATAGTAGTATTAGTAGTAATAAGTTGTTTGATTATTGAGCCTGCATTAGTGAGTTCAGCACTAAATTTTGGGTTTCTGTAACAATGAGTACTAAAGTACTAGCAACATGGGATAAGTTAGCAAGTAAATGACTAGCTTTATTTGTTGGTAAGGTTAAACCTATCATTAGTTATGTTAAAGAAGATGAAATCTGTAAAACTTTTAGTTGAAGAAATATAATGCTTTCCTTTTGCATTACTTTTTATTAAATAATCTAAAAAACTTATCCAACAACAGAAACCATTAGAACACTGAAGTCAGGAATGGGTATTTTGGTAAAAATATAACAGAATCATGACCAAACTTCACTCAATTTCAGAATGAAAATGTGATGGGAAATGATGAAACAATAGAAAGTTGATAAAAAAAATGAGACAGAAAATTAGAATAGATAGGTACAAATTTGAAAGAAAATCAAGTAGAAACAGACAGGAAATTAAAAGAAGACTAAGAAGAAAGAGATTGAAATTTTGAAGAAGATTTAGAAAAAAGAAATAGAAAATAGAGAAATTACAAGAAGCCTTAAGATTTGGAGAAGAATTTTGAACAAAACAAATTTGATCAAAGGCAAGTTAAAGAAAGCCATTAAAATTTTAAAGAAGAATTATAACAAGTCTGAAGAAGTAAAGAAATATTATAACAACAGGACATTTACAAATGAAATTAACAAAGTCAAAAAGAATGTCTCTGCCAGAATAAAACATCTAGAAACTGAATTAGCAAATGGAAGGATCAAACCAGTCATACCTCTGTCAACATATGCTCAAGAATACCAACCTCAAATACCATTAAATATGAAATATGGAATAAAAAAAAACACATATGACCCAAACCTGATACCAATACTGCTGTGTTACCTATGAGCACAGTACCTTCCTGAACTACTACAACTACACCACTACCTCATCAAGTTACAGAATTTATAAGACCTATTCAACAACAATGCTCACTGAGAAACCAACAGATTAAGACAGAAATGTACCATGGAAGGCATATCAGGCTTCATTTGAAATAATTTCCAAAGTGAATATATGGAATAGTGAGCAACAAACTATACATCTAGCTGCTCATTTAAAGGACCAGCTTTAACAATATTAAGTAATCTTCCAGTTGAGAGCCAATACAACTATCAGGCATTGATGGCTGCCTTATCAAACAGATTTGGAAAATCTTATCAGATGGAAGTTCGCAAAGTAAGTTTAGGAACAGATTAAAAAGGAAGAACAAACTTGTCAAACTTGTGGGATATGTGAAAAGGCATGTTTGATTATCTTATGTATGTGACCAATTTATATATATATATGATGAGGATGACAGTATGAGAATTTGTCTAAAGCAAAGTAGGTGTACATCTTTGAAGGAAGTTCTCCAGTTCACAATAGAACTGGAATGAATTAAAGACACAGATGAACAACTGAAACACCATCTAGGAATTATGGGATCATCAAATCAGTAGTATGTAAACGGCAACTCCCTCTGATGGAAGTCTAGAAGAAATCAAAGGATTAATCAGACAACTGTTTATTCAGAATAGAAGTAGTAATAATTCTCAACACAATATGTGTTGTTACTGTAACTTTTAAAAGAATATATTGCCAAGAACTTCAGCCAAAAGCTTTTAATTAGACAAGTGTTTACTCAGGATGGATGAAGTAAATTGCAGGACAAAAGATGTTTAAATTGTAACCGAAGAGGATATATTACCAAGAACTGTAGACAAAGGCCTTTAGAAAATATAAACAGTTTCCAAAGGATGATGGAAGAAGAAAACTACTACAGTATGGAAGACCAGTCCACGAGTCAATGGATACATTGATGAGAAGGCTTGTGCCATGTTGAATGACCATAGTTCTACAGCTAACACTGTTCAACCTGACTTAGTAATGAAAGGTGGAAAATTGCCTACCGAGATGTAACAAGATAGACTGATAAGGGCCACATGCGGTCATAAAGTTCCAGCAAGATGAAAGTCACCCTCATTACGGGAAGCTTCTCTACACAACCTGATGTATGGGTAGTTGATAAACAGGAAATAAACTTCATGTGGAAACACAGTTGTTACATTACACTAGTTTTGAACCATTTCACAGTCTATGATTAGGAAATTCCTTTACAAGATCATTACATTACCAGAAGTACAAGATAATCAACCTAAAGTGCAACAGAGCATAACCCAGCAAGTCAGGTGGTCCAAACTAAAAGTCATCCATCATGATTGTCTTTGGAAAAACACTGGTAAGAGAACAGCCAAGTGGTTAGCTTCAAAGAGGACATCATCAGAAATTCCAGTCAAGATCACATCCAGAGTATCACCAGGGATGGAACTATCAGTGGATTTCCACAACCATCTACCTGAGAGGAACTCCTCAGGCAACAAGACAACAAGTGTTGATAAAGGGCAAGAGGCCATCCCATCTTTGTACCATAGGCCAGGAAAATGAAAACTATCAAAAAAATTTGGTTAGTGGACAGTTTTGAGACAGTGAGTGCAGAAATCAGATTTTGTTTTTAATAAAACTTTTGATTGTAATGTGTTTCACACAATTAATTAGTGATATAATGATCATAATATCTATGAATATTAATGTTTAACTGTCAAGAATTACTCTATTGTTCATTATGGTAGTTTAAAAACTATTATTATTTGTTTATTTAATATGATTGTTCAAGTGATTTCAAAATCCATGGAGTAGGCAGTGTTGTAGGATATGTTTTTAATATTATAAACTTAGACATTCATCAGAGGAAATTTTAACATCACACGATGAGCGTGTAACTCAGTGTCTAGAATTTTCTTAAGAGTATGAGAAATGGTTTGAACAATATAAAAATCCCTGCTAGACTAGAGCAGGAGTAGTAAGTTATTGATTGATTATTGAGCTTGTGTTAGTTAGCTGAGTTTCTGTTTCAATAAAATACTAGATACGTGGAATAAGTTATGTGGTTAACATTACTATTATGTGAAGCTAGACCTACTGCTTGGTTATTGTTAGTTATGCTGAAGAATATCAAATATGTAAAGTATTTAGTTGAAGAAATAAATTGCTTTCCTTTTATGAAGTGGGCTAGACTTTGCACTGGATTTTATTTCAGTAATAAAAAAGAATCCACCTACCAACAGAAACCATTACAACAATACCATTATGCGTGAATGCTGTACCTTAATTAATTAAGGTTTATTCTGTTACACATGAATAGTCTTATAATGTTGTTCTAATAAACGTCATTCCATCCAATTAGGTGACTGAAAACAAATACAATCGACAGCAAGGAGAACAAAAAAACTTTCAATACTTTCTCCTGGTTAATTTTATTTAAATATTTATAGAAGCAGATATACATTAAAGTAAGAAACAAAATTATGTATAATAAGACTTATAATTACTTTTTTTTCAGTTTTGTTTAGAACAGAATTTGCCAATTTTTAATGGCAAAATAAAAATCAAATATAATTCAGATTTGTTTTATTCAATGCGCCTACAAATACAACTCAAAATAGAAATCTGTGTTGAAAAACTTTCCAAAAATGACAAACATTGCAATTAATGAAGTTAGAAAGTCAAGAAATGGTTTGTTTGCAATTAAGCACAAAGCTATACAATGGGATATCTGTGCTCTGCCCACCACGGGTAACGAAACCCGGATTCTAGTATTGTGAGTCCGCAGACATACCGCTGTGCCACTGAGGGTGGTGGTGGTCAAGAAATGGAAAACCAAGAATGTATAAACTAATGTAATCAAGGACAAAATTTGGTTACTTAATTTTTGTACTTAAGATTTATTGATGTAGGCATTATTTCTATTATGAAAAAGCTGCTCTCATAATTTAATTACCATATATTGTATTTTTAGGTATACTATACAATTGCCTATAATATTATATCTCATGGCTGGTAACAAATTTCACATGTATTAACAATTAAAATGCGAATATTTTATATTACTCAACTTATTTCATTAAATAAGGTTTTCTATCAGTACACTTATTTTCTCTTATTTAGACATTTTGTGTTGTTACACATTAGCCAATGGTTTAATTAATAAATAATTACTGAGTTAATACTGAGAATTTCACTGATATCTGCTGGAGTTACACATAACTTGAAATTAAAGAAATAATGAAATCTAACAAAAAAGGTTATGATTTTTTTTAAAAAACTAAAGTTAATGTAAAGATCTTGACAAAAAACTATCATAATAATAATAAAAAAGTTATATTTTTTGTATACAATTTAATGTTTTCTAAATGTGTTACAAAAGCTAATCCTTACTAGTTTTCAGTTAAAAATAAACTGGATACAAACATTTATATCAGATGCTTTTGGTTGTTTTATTTCAATGCTGCATTTTATCTAATAACAGTCAGATAATAAATTATGGTCAAAAATATCATTAACAGTTAGGGTACCCAACTGATGAAACAATAGATTCTAATTTTTTATAAGTAAGAAAAGTATACTTATATTTAATTACCTATATTCTTTATCAAGTTGATTTTTAGTTTTGCTCTAAATAGGTAGCTTGCTCTGATTTGAAGTTAATGTTAATACATTGCCTCCAAGACAGATGACACTCATCAATTTAAGTTTCTCCTTCTTGAAAATTTTAGTTTAATTTTTTTTAAATATCAAATCGGCTGCAGATTCTGTTTGTTTTTTATTTTTATAAACGGATGTTTAAATTATTCCAGATATATCAATAAGTTGATATAGGAGCTAACGTTCATATCAGTTTGGCAAGTTTGCACATATGTCCCTATTAAAAAAATAACCTGTAGTGTAAGAAACATGTTTCACTTTGAAAAAAAAAGAGAAAACAATCACTAAGTTTTAATAAATAATTCAGATTATAATACCAGACTACCAATGTAACCATAAATGAAACTCATTAACTTTCTCAGTAAAAGACTAGTAATGTGGTCAGACGTTTATAGCAACTTCAATTTGGATAACAATCAGTAGCAAAACTGATGGAATATGAAAAATAAAATAAAAAATAGACTAAGGCTGGAATTTTAAAAGTAGCTAAGTAAGATTATAATAACAATAAATTTTTCCTCAATTATAGTTTATGGTTAAGAACTATGTTACATCTAAACGACTGTCTAACTAAAATTGTTAGTTTGATAAACTTTTCATCAATCATCTATTTATACACAACAAATTCATGCCTACTTTACAAGTACATAAAGTACAACTGTACTTGCTTACTTTACTTCCCGAGTTTTTTCGAAGATAACCAGATAAAAATGGTTGAGCCTTCTGCTGTACAAATCTGACAGATAAAAGCATTAAAATATTTACAAATAATGAACAAATATACATATTTATGAAATCCAGAGTAAACACCAATTTTAATTAGTTATGTTAACTCATTTCATTAAGTACAGTAGTACTTAATAATAGGAATTGTGATGAAACAAAATGGCAGCCATAAAAATTGGCCATTTGAAACCACCTTTATAATGTGTGAATATTAACAATGACTTTTTCACAGTATTGTAAATGAGCAAAACTAAAGCTCATTGTACTTATAAAAGCTGCCTAAATCACTATATACATGTTTATGGAGTGAATCAAAATATCACTATTTCAAAGTATTTTCCAGACAAGCATACAGAAAAAATAAGAAACCTTTATTGCTTTAATTCTTTTACAGAACTCTTCCATTTGGGGGTCCAAATGATTCCTTTCTTGTACCAAAAAAGGATAATAAATATATATACGTATAAAATGGATGGTGCAATATTTTGGGCATATAATTAGATTTGAAGGTAGACTGGTAGAGATCCTGATGAGTAATAAAATTGAATCAGGTATATGCATGCCCCATGCTTGGTGTTGCTAGAACGCAAATATTTAGTTAACAAAAAGGAAACGAGAAAGTATAATAAAATAATTTAAAATTTTATAAAGACAAGTTGGTATCGATATATATGCAACCTTGCTAGCTATAGTAATATAGAAAGTTTTAATGCTACAAAAGGTATTGAAAAAAGAAAGACAAAACTAAAAAACTAAGTTACTTGAAACTTTCAATTTATCTCTACTTTGGTTCAGACTAACATAATTACAGATTTGCCAAAGCATGGATAAAATCTTTTAAACTTTAAATTATTCAGTTTTTATAGTTTTGACTTTCTTGTCTCAACACTTTTTGTAGCATTAAAACTTTCTATATTGCTATAGCTAGCTAAGTTATGTATATATTGATCCCTACTTGTCTTTATAAATTAAGAATTTATCATACTTGTAATTTTAATAATGACTGCAAATATTTTACCTCTTCCTTATAGTATGGCCAATTATAAAACAAAAACTCCATAATTTCATTTAAATATTTCTTGGAAATACAATTTAAAAACTTAAAAACACACAAATCTGAAAGTACAATTCGTAACATCAGGAAATTACAACATAAAGTGATGTAAGTAAGAAAAGAGGAAATGTGTAATGGTCAGGCTATTTCATTGGATTAGTAACTACTAATGACACTAAAGTAGTCTAACCTATGAAATTTGTTACTACTCATGTTTTATTTCACAGTAATTTTATGTAATACTTCTGTTTTAAGCTAATTTTAATCATTTGGACTGCAGTGTTTCAGTTACATGAACGTGCATTAAATCTGTGACAGTGCTTGAAGCCAACAACTATTGTTTGCATGTTCTGTAAGTAAGGTATTCTCTATTACTTCTTTATTGTTACTTTTATTAACAGTACTGGTTACATTATTTATTTTATCTAATTTTCTTTTTTATCATTAGACTTTTACTACAGAGACTGTTTTCACCCAAATACCCTAAGGCAGCTGAATCTTGCAAGATATTATTGGGATTATGGCCGAAACTATTGTTAACAGAGTGAGTGCCGAAATAGTGCATTTTAATTATTAAAAAAATGTAAGAAAAGTATATTTAATTAGCTATACTCATTACTACGTTGATTTTTAGTTTCACTCTAAGTAGGTAGCTTGCTCTGATTGGAAGGTAATTTTTGATATATTAGAATGTTATTTGAGTGTAATTAGTCATTTTAATGAAATTGTTTAAATGTTAAAAAAAAATTCATATCTGAAATTATTAGGTAATTTCATAACTTATAAGTATTACTTTTGTTATAATTCATTATAATTTGACATCTGCAATCAATTAGTTTCAAGAAATTTCAGTTACTAATTTAATCCTAGTTTACACCATTACTACTGATAGTCTACACCCAAGTAAATATAATTTTTAATATAGTATTTTGATATATTAAGAAATTGAAGTTCATAGTTAATTTTAGGCTAAATTAACAAATTAATTATTGTATGATTTGATAAGTTCACATACAGTAGTAATTATTTTCACTATTTAATCCACATCAATAAATTTATTTATGTTCAGTAGAGTCACCCCTAAGAGATATATGTATTTTTATGAAAATTCTTTTACATCTTTACTTATCAATGGAAACAGTATGTGTAGATCTTAAAACTTACTCCCCAGAGGAGTAATGTGGGAATTGAGGACTTGAGTACGAATCTTATTCAGTCTCAGTTTCAGCCACTTTAGAAGAATTTTACTAAAAATTATCAATACCTTATACTCTTCCAGATTTTTCTAAACTGTAAGAAGAAACACTTACAAAGAATAATATCTTCTCTATTTAACTGTATTCCTTGTTTTTATACCACAACAATTTGACTTCAACATCTCACCTAGTTTGTATTACAAATATTTAAGTAGGAAAATTACTTGCAACAATTAATTTTTTCAACCATGAAAAAGAAATGTTACCTCTTCTCAATTGAGCAGACTTCTTGCCTGGAGTCCTTAGTGGATGGAAGACGTTGTAACACGGGTAGCTTGGATGGAACCACCTGGAACAAATATTATTGAACAATATACTATAAAGTATGTGCATGTTAGTGAGAAACAGCAGTGTGTACTTCAACTCTTATTTATTAATAATTAATTTAGAGTTGTGCCATTCTGTGTATTAATTCCTCCAAGCAATAAAACGAAGTAATAAATGTTATATAAAAAACTAGCTTGCTATTTATATATATACTTGAAGAACTATGCAAGCCAGATTCGATACGTAAGTTCATGTCAAATATTGAAAACTTTCAAACTTTAGACACAATTAATTCAAAATTATTGGCATCATTTTAAACATTTTCTTTTAGATTAAATAAAACAAAAACCTAACATTAAAAAAGAAAGTCCTTCAATACAATAGATTAAATGAACTAGTGTAACAAAAAATGAAAGTGAAAAACATGTAGCACCATACCTGCTAAATGAGAAGGTGATTTTACCCCTCTATCATGAAAATGTTTAATATTACAGAATACTCTCAAAACTTTTGTTTTTGTGAATAATTAAGTTTTTATAGGTAACAGTTTAAACCTTTATATGTATAACTTGCATTTGATTTCTAGAACAATGGTTTTAAATAACCATGCTGACAAATAAAAACTAGACAGTCATGATTTTGGATAGATAATGTAGTCAATTTAATTCCAACTAACTTTCTAATTCAATTCTTTCAGACTTGAGACTTGACTTCTGGTTAATTAGTATATAAACATATCCTATAATTTTAATCTTTCACTAAAATCTCACATCAGCATTTTCCACACAACAAAAATTACACAAGTAACTGATTCAAGTTTTCAACAACTAATCAAAAAAGAAAAACATTGATATGTTTAAAATGAAAATTAAACTAATATTTTCTTAAGTTTCACTACTGGCAGTTTTTCTACAAGCAATTCATCAAACTGATATTACCACTTTTCTTCCAAAACCAAAGATGCAAATCTCCCATGAAAGCTTTTTCATAAGAAATGTGTGCTTCATATATTTATTTCAAAATATTTGTATGTTCATTCAAATTAGTAATTTTTCTTGAAAATATATTCAGACATGGGGAGCACTATCACAGATAAGGAACTAATAAAACCTCTTTTGCATAGCTAAAAGTACCTTTTTGGTACTGGGATTAATGTTTAAAAAATCATTTCTTTGATTCTTAACCGAGTTCCATTGACAAGTTTAAATTGTTCAATATCACACAAGTCCTACATTTTTCAAGTTGATAGTTGGGGATTGCTGTACTGTTCTTACATTTAAAGACAAGATATTCAGAAACTTGTATCTACAGGAAAAGGTGGAACCAACAAAATGGGAGGAAAGAAAACATGTCTTGCAGAGAACATAATGAACATGGACAGAAAAAGTAATACTCAAACATTTCTGTAAAACAAAACCTTCCATGAACAGATAAAAAATCAAGCTACTGGGATCTTACTTTGGAACTGGCTGGTCTCACTGTATGACTGGAACAATTTGGCTGCTGAAGCACAAAGTAGGCATCAGACTTCTTCGCACCACAAAAACAGGAAGAACTATATGTATTCCAAACTTTCAAATAAAAGTCCTAGCATGATATCCCACAAAGCTATGTCAATGATCACTGTCACTCTAAATCCTCAATAGAAGGTTAACTTCCAGCTCATATTAATTTCTACAAACCCATGTATTACCACTTCTCTTGGATATAGTCTACACCTTAGGAAAGTGAGTGAAAACTGTATTGAATGGACATTGTGGTACATAACCTCTGCTCTAGGTGGGGATTAATGGAAGCTTATGATCACTTACAAATAGTTCACATAAAACTTAGTTAGATACAAAGAATCTGCATAAATGTTTTTTAAATATTTACCTGAATATACCAGTGTCGAGTTAACATTTTTCTTACCTGAAAATGTATTTCCAATAGATACTCACCTCTTCACAGCTTCTCTACCACTAGCCTTGGGGTAACTCCCACCTAATTTCACATGATTCTATGTGAATTGTGCTACTGCAGGTGATATCATCATGCAACAATAGCCATCCACCAATAGGAAGGTGACACACTTCCATGCACAATAACTCCCCAAATGTGCTTGTACTTATGAAACTTCATTCTTCGATGAGACAAGTCAGGAAATTAGCACTGGAATTGGGGAGGATGGGTGGGGAGAAGAGGAGAGAATTTGCATGGGGAAGGTCCAGAGAAAGTGCCAACGTCCCTATCGGTCCTTCAGTCCAGAAAGGTCTTTTACTGGAGACAGTGCAATGAGTGACCACAAAATCATATTTTTAAAAGCCAACAAGGGTGACACAGAGAAGTGGTTCTGGCTTTTTTCCATGAAAATCCATGGAATTGGTACAGTCTGAAACAGACAATTGAGTGAATATATATGTACATATACCACCAGGATAGCTCAAGTGGTCTTGTGGAACACTTATCACACAGTAGGCACATGTAGAGCCAGGGCAAATGGTATGAGCACTTTCCATTGTCCTGGCTCAATGTGGATTTTGGGTGAGTACACCATACATCTGGTGAGATCCTTTGGAATAAAAAAAGGGCTCTGTAAAAAGAAATATATAGTATGAATTCCTCTCAAAAACAGTAGGCAACTGAAGAATGGTGACCTGTGGAAGCTGAAAACCATCATGAGAGAAAATGGCCAAAAGGTGTTGAGAAGAAGATGAATGTGTGGAGAGAGAGTCCACATGCCTGCCTGGAAAAGCCCATACTAAGGCTGGTGAAGAAGAGATGTAAGAGAATGAAAGGTGATAAATCGAATGTGAAGAAAGGTGAAATAGTCCACAAACATCCATATACTGAGACAAACATGTCAACAGAGGAGTTAATGGACCTATCCCATATTGAAAGAGTGAAAGAGGTCCATGGAAAAGAGGGTCTCAGGGAAGGAACAGACAAAGGTGAGTGGTCCTTCATAGGGCACAATGAACAGCCCAACAGGACACAGGATCCAAGCTGAAGGCGAATGGTCCAATAAGCAAGAGAGTAGCAAGGGAGACAGACATATAGTGCACCTTCTGAGTGGTCAAAGTCCAAGGAAGGAAAAATTGGTTTGGAAAGAGGAAAAGTGCAGTGGAAGAGGGTAAGAGAAACATTTACAGGAAAGATATCAGAATAACAGTAACTGTAGGGGAGAGGTAGATAGAAATAACTCAGGAAATAAAGATGGTACAAAAGCCAGGAAGTCAAGGCTCAACTGGTGCATGCATGAGACCATGAAAAATCTCATTAAAGTATCAATCAGGCAAGGGGAGTTGGGCAAGGAGGACTGAGGTGAATGATGGACCAGAACATAATGTGTGAACCTTGTATAATCATCCTTTACCCTTAATAATCTATTTCAATGGATCTATTTGGGTTATTTTGTGGATAAAATAAATGAAAAAAGTTAATTTTTTTGAAAAATACATATCTATTAATTTCTGCTTCTTACATGAAATCTTTCCAGTCATTTTTTTTAACTAGAAAGTACTTAATTTTAAATAAAGGTTAAAAACTATTTTTAAAATTAGTTCATCATATTTCAAATACAATACACTAACCTTGCTTTGTGACAGATTAGTTTTTTTTGCGCATCTGATGCCAGAGGTCTTTTTTGATTTTCCCTAAAGAAAAAATAACATTTTTAGGTATCTATAATTTTATATTTTAGTTTTTTCTCATTGAGATAAAACATACAGATAAAAATAAATGGACTAAAGGTAATCTGTTAAGATCAATACTTGGTGGAATGCTAATTACTATTTCTATTGTGTAATTTCTTAAAATTTGATCTAATAAAAAGAAATATCAATAGCTTTTAGAATACATGAATACAGTATGATTACATGGTTTCTCAGATAACCAAGTGATTTTAAATCCAAATAAATTTAATAAAAGGAATCTGATAAAGTTCTTGAGTATATAGTTTTATACATTTGAATAAAGTTCATGAGCATGAATTCAAATTTACTATCTTTACTACTTACTACTCAAATTATCAACTTGTGAAAATTCAAAACAGTCTAGGGATGGACTACATTCTTAACAAGTTCAAATGCTACTATATAGAGTACTTTCAAAACTTTACATTCATCAATGTGAAACACTAGATTACACTGTTGTGACTGTGAGCTGTCCATTATAAAGTTCATCACTTGGTATTAGCATAAAACATAACAAATTAAAAAAATATTTCCAACAATATAAATTCATTTTTGATGCAATTAATCCAAAACATGTGATAAAAATCACAAAACTAAGTGATCAATGACTTGTATTTATTTTTCCTGATGAATCTGTGAACAAGTTACACAATTAAATTTATGTATACCATTTGCCAAGGCTTAAAGATTTATTTAATTTAACAATACAAATTTTTACTTTTTACGTACAATAATTTTTTTATCACCATATTTTGACTTCTTCGGGTTGTATTGCCTGTACAGACAGTCCCATCCCTCTACTAGAGCTTTTGCAGATTTGAGGATTATATTTTTAGATAACTTTTGATGTGAAAAAACTTGGTAACCTTAAAACTGTACCATTTTAGAAATAGATGTAAAACAAATCTTGGGGAATACAATCAAACCTGTTTATAGATATCATATATATATAAGTTTTGGGTGTTACTGGCTGTGAGAAAGATGCTGCTACTTTCCAAAAGGATTTGGTTTATTTGGTGAATTGGACAAAAAAATGACAGGTGCCTCTTAATTATCATAAATGCAAGGTAAAGTATGTGGGTTATCATAGTTTTAATTATCAGTAAAATTTTGATTGGAATAACCTTAACATTGTTTTGGAAGAAAAGAATCTTGGTGTTCTAGTTTAACAGTCTCTTAAGCCATTCAAGCAATGTGCTGTTGCTAATGCAGGGCAAATTAGAATTTATGTTGTATTTAAAGAAATATTAACTATCAGTCTCCATAGGTTATAATGTCATTGAAGAGGTCATTGATTATGCCATACTTAGAGTACTGTGGTCAGTCTTGGGCTCCTTACCTTAGAAAGGACATTGAATTGTTGGAAAGGGTTCAGAAGAGGGCTACTAGGATGATATCTAGGTTGGAAAAGTTGTACTATGAGGATAGATGAAGATCTTTGAAATTGTTTTCTCTCAAAAAAGAGAAGAGTTAAAGAAGACCCGATTGAGATGTTTTAAGATTGTTAAGACAACTTACAGTGTTGATGGATCATCTTTTTTATATTTGATCATGAAAATGATAAGACCAGAGGACACAAAAACATTTTTAGCAGGGTAAGAGTCATCTTCAACTCAAGACAGCTTTATTTTTCTAACATGGTGGTTCGTCTTTGGAATAGGTTGCTTTCAGATGTGGTAGATGCAATCAATTTAAAAGAGCTTACGAAAAGGCTTGATAAATATTTGAATGATAAAGAGCTGACTTTGAGTGTTTAATTTTTGTTTTAAAGTTTAGTATAATGGATGGAATGGCCAAAATGGATCAACAGGTCTCTTGGTGTCCTTAAATTCAGCAAATATTATTTCTGGAAAGCAACAATTGCTCTAAAAATAATAAAGATTTATCAAAAACATTGTCCTCACCCTGTTTTGGTAAACAAAACTACAATGAAATTATCATTCACCTGAAAGCCTTGAGCTGAATCTATAATAGAGTTCTTCGAATGACGATCTATAGCAGGTAAGACACAAGAGCTGCTAGATGTGTTTTTGATGGAGGAGTGACCCTAGAGAAAAATAGGGTAAGTAACATAACAGTCACTTCCACAGTAATGTACACATACTTTCTTAATATAAATATGAATACACAAATGAATTTAATTTATTATTTTTCCTACCCACATGCATGTCAAAGAGGCAAACAATGTGCATGCAGTCTTGAATAAACAATATCATCATAACAAGCTACCATTAGAAATAAACCACCACAATCCTAGTTTACTTGTATTTATCATTACGAGTAACTTGAATGCCAAGAATGTCTTCCCAGAGGTAGACTGTACAACAACATGTAATTAAGTAGAGAAGCAGCATAAGTAAATGTTCTTTGCATACCATACATTAAAAAAAGTTGAACAGCTTTATCCGAGTATACCTAGAAAACCTTTTATACTTTAAATGAAAAACACATTTCTTTACAAGTATGAGTAAAAATGTAAGATGAACCAATAAATCAAATGTTTCTGTGATCATTAAAACTAAGTTCACCTTGCCTTTAAGCCATAACTATGACCCAATAACTTGACCATATTCAAAAACATCAATCCGCACCAAATAAATTTGACTTTTACACCAATTTTGTAATCGATCTTATGGCACAATTTTCCTTTATAAATGACTAGAACAATAGCTATAACAAGCATACAAATATTACCTTTCATATAGGTATGTATGTATTAGCCTAGATACACAACCAAAGCGAAGACTTCATGTAAGTTAATGTTTTCCTACACTGAAAATGTATTTCCATTAGATACTTACCTTCGCTCACAAATAGCTTTTCTCGACTAACACTGACCTCCATTGGCTCAAATTTTCTATGCATGCTACTAGCCTTGCACCTCCCACTTCTGCATATCCACATGCAAATGATCATGCAGCAGTTCTCCACCAATATGAGTGCGACACCACTCCTATTGTAACCAGCACTCTCTTCACATCTGCACTTGTTAATCACTCCGAGACAGGTCAGAAGACCTCCACCATATATCATCGGAAGTAGGGTGGAAAATGTGAGAGGATGTAAGTATCTATCAGAAATACATTTTCAGTGTAGGAAAATATTAACTTTCAATATGATATCTTACCTCCGCTCACAAAATAGCTAGAATCTCACATTGAACTGGTGAAGGGCCAATACAAAAATAAATAATAATAATTGATTCCCTTTCAGAAAGCACCCAAAGAGAGACCAGAAGTTATGTAACCAAAAGAGAAAACATCACACCTCAGTGGGAGACCACACCACATCTGATCCAGGTATACTCTTTGCTCTTTTATGACTGTGTCGCGAATATAAAAGGTAGAAAAACAAGAAGAAATCCCAGAATATGTATGATCGATTAGTGGGACCCTGGGTGTCGAGTGGTTAGGGTGCAACAGACCATAGCGGTAATTTGACCTCACCCAAACCAGGCAGAATCTGAAACAGTACCTCAGATCCACGGTAGGTAGAGGATCACCTACCTCTTCACCTCGAAATAGGAATGGGTAGGGAAGATGAGCTACTGTACCAAATTCTCTCTCCACTTGCACATATTTCCAGCACAACCAACACAAGATCTGCTGGGAACCATCATCCATCAGATGGTAGGAAGGTGGAAAGCTCCAGAGGGATGACATCTCCAGTCCAACATTTGATAGCAATGGGTATGTTACTTCCATTCCATGGTAGGAGAAGGATATCCAGCTGTACACAAGTGGGAATACATGTGCTGCGTCCAGCTACAACCAACATCAGATCTTCCAGGAACCAACATCCAGCAGGTGGTAGGAAGAGAACTGCAAACCTCGAGTGCATCTCCAGTCCAAAACCTGGGGGCAGTGGGCTTTTGTCATTCAGTCCACGGTAGAAGGAGGGATACCAGCCGGAACACATATGAGGACTTACTTAGCTGGACCATCTCCAAACAACAATGGTAGGGAGGAGAAATGTCTCAGCCTGAGGGGCAAACTGCAATAATAGGTATGTATATATTCATGGCATGGCAAGTGCTTCAACCAAAACCTGGCGGCATCTGAAATTGTACATCAGGTCCATGGTAGGAAGGGTGTCATTCATCTACACATGATACTAATCGTAAATGGGCCATCTCCAACCAAAAACAGACCCACCGGGAATGTATTTCCTGAGGATGGTAGTAAGGAGAAACGCCATGGAAGGAAAAACAATCGGTCAGATATATAGACAGAAATACAAACAAAACCTGGCAGTATTTGAAATTGTACATCAAGTCCAGGGCAGGAAGTGCAATACACCAGCAACACCTGTAGAATGCCATCATCCTACTCTCAACTGAGTGCTATAATTCATCACTCAGGAGGACAGGTTTCGACTGTCCACCACCCTAGTGGCTAGGAACTGGAAAGTGGTAAGAAGTCCCATACCCCACTAGAAGAAAGGGGTAAAAAACGTGTTGGAGAGTCTGGAGGACTACATCACCAGCGACAGTATAACGGGTGACTGCAATACCTGATTTTGAAAATCAGAGCTGCCACATCAACAGAGTCAATCAACTAAAACCTGGTGGCATCTAGAATTGTACATCAGGTCCACAGTAAGAAGAGTCTCAATGCCAAGGAGTATCAGAGATGGACAGCAATCTCTGTCTGTTTTACTCATGTTAGTCCATAAGTGTATGGTCCGAGACAAACATATTTATGAAGCAAAAAACCACTAAAGATAACTATTAGCAGTCCTATGGAACACCCCATCTCTACAGTATGCATAACCCATACCTGCGACATAATAGTTTAGTCATAGAGAACAATAAAATGGAGACATACAACCAGCACTGGCAGCATCTAGAATTGTACATTAGGTCCACAGTAGAAAGGGCTACAACGTAATTGACATCGAGCATCGTCGCAAGATGGACAGTGCAGGTTATGAAAACAAGAAAATGTATATCTGGTCAGGCACCACTTGCCACAGAGTGGGATCTACAATATGCAAGCAAAAAAAGCCCCTGAAAAAGTAAGAAAAGTTTGAAAAAAAAGCAACTTTTCACAATACCAAAATGCGAATATTTAAATACATAGTACAAAAAAAACTAAGTCAGTAATATAAAAGAAAACGTAGACAAATCTGTGAGCAAAAACCAGCACGTCTGTACAGTACTACTGCCAAATGAGAAGTGATTAAGGAGTGCAGATATGAAGAGGGCACTGGTTATGATAAGAGTGATGTCACATTCTTATTGGTGGAGAGCTGTTGCATGATCATTTGCATGTGGATATGCAGAAGCAGGAGGTGAAAGGTTAGTGGTGTGCATTGAAAATTTGCACTGATAGAGGGCAGTGCTCATTGAGAAAAGCTATTTTGTGAGTAGAAGTAAGATATCGTATTGGAAAACTTGGCTAAGTCTAAAACAAATAGATGAATTTCAACTACTGTGTGACTAGCTGACTTGCCCAAATTTAGCAATAAACAAAAATGTAACTACAGTAATGGAATCTGTATGAACAATTTAAACTTAAAACAACAATCACATTTTACAAAAAACAAATAATAAAACAAGAGTTCATGTTAAATAGCATTTTGAAAACTGTCTATTTGGTGTGAAAAAGCAAACAGGATGTTCAGCCTTGTTTCCATAACAATTTAACTTGAGAGTTTACTTTTATGAGACTTAAGGCCTGTAAAGTAATCATTTTTGCAACAAATAGTTAAAAAGAAGTTCAACCTCTATTTAAACCTGAGGTAAACTTAACCTTTATTCATAATTATAACCCAAGGACTATGAACTTTAATGAGTTTTGTACATGAAAATGTTGTATACCTCCATGGCAGTTGAAACAACTAAATAAACAATAAGTAAAGCAACAAGTGCACGTATATATATAAATGTCTATCTACACACAGAAAGTACACAATGTATTGACTTTCATTACCTAGGTCACTTATCCAAAATCATAACTGAAAACCTTTACAAAATTTTATGAATATCTATTGCAAACAGTGAAGTAAGAGGAGATAGCTTGGTTAAAATGAGGAGAATTCTCCTCATTCAGTATGATACATACACATTTGCATTATATATATACTGATCCAACAAACTTATCAAAATGAGGATTCTCCTCTTTTAGTAGGATATGCACATATATGAACTACATATACTGTTCCTATAGACTTCACCAACAAGAGGATTACCCTGTCTTATTCAGATATGCACACATCTGCATTATATATATATATATATATATGTGTGTGTGTGTGTATATGCACTGTTCTATAGGGATTAGTATACTTGTACAGTAAGATAAAAGTTAGTCTTCTCACAATGAACCAGTGTTACAATAAATAAAAAAAGAGCATAGACACTTAGGTAATTATTACAAAGTAAAAATAAAAAAACTAATACACATTCCAGTAATAAATGGCTTATTTTAACCCATTGACTGCTGATTCAACGTATAGGATACAGTCCACTTCTAGCAGTTGAATGCATGTATGACATATATGGTGTATGGTGTGCAAAACTTCCACACACATTTAGAGCAGCCATAATCAATGGCTTGTTTTGTAAGGTCTTGTAAGGTATTTCTGTTGGATATATTTGTTTTATAGAACTTTGCTCTATCCTGATGAAGATGAGTTAATAACACTAGGTTGGAAGGAATAGAGCTACACATACATCTGTTTTGACTATTGTCTGTACTTGCAGACACACTGTCTAGTTTAAGTTCTTATAATCCGGAAAAAAAAGCTTATAAATAAACCCAACTCCTAGAAACTTTGGCCAGTAATACACAGCAAATTTGATTCAATTCTGAAAAACAAACAAGTAACTATTAACAGCAATATAAAACCATTACACAGCTTTAGACAAAAAGAAACTAGAAGATGGGTGTCATTAAGAATTCAAAAAGTTCCATTGCATCACAACACAATAAAATAGTATGGACATTTTTTATGGGTTTCAATGGATGTAATTAATCTTATTAAACAGATTATAAATTAAAATTGAAAGTTGTGTATGCTATGTCAAAGTAATTGTTGAAAAAA